ATTATTATTATGACACCTTGTAGCCCAATACTGAACATACCTAAACACAGACCGAGATCATGATGTTTAACCCTTTGTCCCGAAACTACGCCCAGGTGTTGTGAGTCGAGTGTGGATCACGTCTGCCTTGTCTTGAAGCCCGGGCTATTTTCTTATATAACAAACATACATAAACTCGCACTGTGACCTTGACCTTTTGTCCTGAAATTTGCCGTGTCCTGTGACTTACATGAGGAACAGGTACTCTAAGTTTGAAGTTTCTAGCTATTTCCCTTGTAGCTCAATGCTTACCATACCTAAATCAATAATGTGATATTTGAAATTCTGACCCGGAAACGTGCCCATGTGTTGTGAGTCGAATGGGGAACACATTTGTCAAGTATGAAGGCCCTGGCCACTTTCCCCCTGTAATTTTTATCTCCATGCATAAACTCATACCGTGACTCTGACCCGTGACCTCAAAATGTGGCATGGTTTTCCAAACCCCCACAGGAACATGTGTGCCAATTTTGATAGCACGGTACTTGTATGGTAAACCTCTGGTTTTCGTCTCAGTGAAAAAGTACCTGGGTTATATGGTGTCATCAGATGGCAAGGATGAAGCTGATATGAAGCGACATTTGCGGTGTATTTATGCTAGGGCAAATTTTATTTTACGAAAATTTATAAAAAGTTCAGAGTACGTTAAGTGTTTGTTATTTAGAACGTATTTATACAGTATATATTGTCTGAATGTTTGGTGTGATTATCGTACACAAATTGTGAATACTGTGCGAGTGGCTTATAATAACGCTATAAGATTGATCTTTAGCCTTAAACGGGCTAGCAGCGCCAGTGGTAATTGCGTGAGTAGAAATATTTTCAACTTTGAATCTCTTCAGCGCAAGGCATTATATAACTTCAGTCAGCGTCTACTTACGAGCAATAATGCTTTAATTCGTACTTGTGTCAACTCTGACAGTTTTTTCTTATCCAAATTTTGGACTAATCTTAGACGTTGTATTTATTAGTGTTCGTGTTTGTTATGTATTTAATATGGGACTTTTTTGGCCTGAAATAAAGGATTAATAATAATAATAATAATAATAATTTCTTTCGCACAAAAAGTCGCACAAATGACCTGCACAGTAATTGCACGGGACGTTCGTGATGCTGTAAGCTGGTAAGAAAAAGAATATGTGAGGTATAAGTTCAATGGATAAAAGGTGATATAACGTCATGTTCACTAATATAGTTTACAGCGAAAGATCTTTTTAACTAGAAGAGGCTAACAACATGAACAATTTTATGAACATAGACAATCGTAGAAAGTTTATAATTTGAATGAAAGGAAAAAACACTATGATCTACATATAACTGGCACAATTTATTAAAAACACTTTCCTTCAATGACAGCTACACCTCCTTCAAGTTATTTTTTTAAATTGTCCTTTGCTTATCACAGTGTTATATCTTAAGTTCAGTATTTTTTTTCAGTATTATTGTTTGTGTATTGTTGTGATTATTTTGTTAGTGTATATTCTTTGTAATGTAACCATTTAAATTCTTTCCGAGGAGTTTTAAGCGTTATTTTTAATAAAAATGTTCAGCGTTCTTCATATCAGGTGCAAAATGAGCAGACATAGTGACATGATCTAGAGAAGAAAACAGATATTAACAATTACAGTCACGGTCAATACTAGACTTTATACTCAATGGCCATACACATATATATTTACCAAGAAATGAAGATACACAAGGTAACAGAAAACTGCATGTAAATTGACGCATACTCTTTGGACTTAAGACCTATAAGTAAAAATATTAACACATCTATGAAACATTTTTCTGAAATTCTAGTACCATATCACATCCAATTAATTATAAAAGCCCCTCAATACTATTAGACTGATCTCAACCATTATCCTTGTGTAATATTTGAATTGTTAAAAGATGGAATTGTTGGAGAGGGTAATTTAAACAAAATTATTAAATCAAAACAGCAGCACTAAATATAGCATTAAACTTGGATTGGAAATTACATATTTTTGTTTAATAATAATAATAATAACTTTATTACACTACTAAAAAGATAAAAAATAAAATGTTAGTAAAATAAAAGAAAAAATAAATTAATTACTTTCTGTGGTTTTTAAAAATTGTGCTCTTTAAGTATTTTGCTAAGGCTATATTATTCTTCATAATCTTTTTAAATATGGAATTCACATCCATTGTGTAAATATTTATTGCACACTCATCAAACAGTTTTTTTCTTTGTTCTATATAGCCAGTACAAAATAGCAGGAAATGTTTTTCATCTCCTAATGCTTTAGTGTTACATTTATTACAGTGTCTATTTTCTAATTCTATTTTGGGCTTTGTTCTTCTACTTTCTAAGTTGTGGTCACTCAGACGGAATTTTGAAAGCATTTTCCTGAGGCTGAAATTTGAAATGTTTTGCAAATAATTTTCCATATTATAACTTAATTTGAATAGTTTGTATGTTCTCAGTTTTGTTCCCCTATTTTCATTGGTTTCACTGAAATTTAGTTCTTCTCTCCATCTTTGAATAATCTAAGAGAAGGTGAGATTATTAAACAAATGGTACATTATTACATATTCCTAAACTTAATAATAATGATAATTTTTATTATGTTGTGCTAATCTACCGTAATCTATTTAGCAAGAGCGTAATTACTACAAATGACGTGTGTATACAATGCGATAGCGCTATTGTTTCGTTTCTGAAATTGTATGAAATAAACAAATTAAATCAAATTTATTGTATAAGATATAGTTTGGACACAACTTTAAGCTGTCGAGCAAGTACTAGTAGCTGAAACGCGCGAAAATTTGTCAAGTCATGCTGAATATAATCCGGGGGGTACACTCCTAGCCCAACTTGATCATTCACAGCCTCGTCCGTTTGACATAGATGTGAAATGAAAACTTTAAATATTACAAATGTCAAAATCAAACATCGCGTCTGGCAATATTATTTTATGGTATAGTATATATTGATAAAAACATTAGGAAACCAATTAAAATAGTATAATTATATATTTGATTTAGAACAACTTATGAGAACAGTAAAATTTCGAACGAGGCTAGAACGAGCTTACCCCCTGGTAAGTTTAGAGTTCAGTGTGTTTGTATACAGAGTTCTGGGAAGCGGTAATCTTTCCTGTTGGAACTATCCTGCTTTGTCGAAATCATAGGGTGTATCATTAGTAGTGCAACCATGGCAAGTAGCGATGAAGGCGTACAACTTATTCGGGATACGATGGAAGGAGAGGAAGAGAGTGTACCGCATGTGTTTGTCGTAATGGGAGCCTCGGTGAGTGAAATAATGGGGAGACCGCCGGGTCCCTTGTCAAATTGAGACAGGTATTCTATGAGATTTTGTAGAAGACACATTCGCATACAACAATTTATTGGTATTGCGTGCAAATGTACCATAATAGTAGATATACTGCCGTGCTGTTCACTTGAACAGTCCAATTCGTCGAATTACGCTTGTATCCGGGATCAATAATAGTAACGAAAGTTCCTGGTTGGTTGAGTGGGCGTGTCAGTGAGAGTGTCTGTACCCACTGCACTGGAGGGCTGGTGCAAACTGTTGAAAGACCATATACACAGTCAATAAATCTAAATCTTGTGCAAGAGTGGATACAATATTCATTAAAGTTGACCCTTTCTGGCCTTGGGTTTTCTGTTATAAACATGTCTTTTTACAAGCATGATAATAATGTTTGACTAATTTAGCTAATCAAGATGTCACTAATTTTGAATAATGTATATTTTCACAGTGTGATTGTTGACACTTTAGCTAAATTAAGATTTTGTTAATTCATGCATTGAGCCAAATTTGCTAAAATACATTATTTCAACATCTTCTACATTAATGAACTTGGCAGTGTGATCCAGTGGCCATTCTACTGTATAAGATAATTACCTTGATACAATTATTGACAAAAACATTATAAATTATTTAATATTCAGCTTTCATAAAATTAAATATGTCATGAAATCCTATAATAGTTTTTTATAACATGGTTAGTCTGAAATCCAGCAATCTGATTGGCTGAAGCAAGGTCTTGTATGAAGACCTGTGATTCTGTCAAAAAATTCAATAAACTGGATTGAATATCTAACTGAATCAAGATCACATGACTAGAAGCACTGTTTATTGTGATTGTGGATATATGATCATCTGATCAAAACAGGGAAATGTGGTACAAATACTAACAAGAATTATTGCCGACAATTTCAATATATTGTACCTCATTCATTGCAACGTAACATTCAAATAGACCACAAGTCATGTCCAATGTCACCACTCACTGGGTCTGTCATCTGTTTTGTAAATTGATGTAAAGGTGTAGAAATTGTTAAAAAGAGTAGGTTCAGGAATGGTGGAATGATACCGCGTATGAACTGCAACAGATGACATGTCAATCAATGTCCTCAATTCGTAGTCGAGCAATATCGGCTACTGTTCTAGTAGAGACTCAGCGTTTACTAATTTTAGGCTCCGGTACTGATACGCATTTAGCAGTAGGCGATTCTTTGGTATCTTTGGTGAACATGTTATCATGTCTTGCACACACTTCCGGTGGGTACATGTCACTATGTACAAGGACTATATCACTGACTTTAATAGACTTGGCCGTTTTTGTAAATCCTGTAGCGTGGTAAGGTATTTGAATACCCATCTTTTCTGAATTGTGTGTTCAATGTAGACATGTGAGCATTGCGGTTCACAAGATCAAGTCGACATCCGAAAGTCTGGTCATTGAGTCTGTCATCTTCTACCACAACATATGGCAATGCAGTCAATGAATAACCACTTAATAGATGTGATAGGGTAAGAAGGACATCATCTTTATAGTCAGATGAGAGATATGGAAGATACTGTTTGCATACAAGACTTTATTCAGTACTTTGTCCACCGGCTTTATGTAGAAATGTGAAAATATAAAGTAATTCTATTGAACACTAAAAAGTATATTTAACAAATGAAAATAAAATATTTATCATCAATATAGATAATAATTATTTCTCAACTCCCCCTACTTAAAAATGCGTGTTGAAAAAGCGTGCAAGGTTCCTTTGTATTTGTTGTTGGTTTTCAATAACTGTATAAACTTTGTACAGTCTGGGTGATTAAAATAGTATGGTGGAATATATCGGTAATGCCGCCCTTTACAAAGTATATTGTGTGGTGTTTCTTCTTACAAATGCGACAGCTGAATTTAGATTTGCAATCACTAGCCCTACCGAGGCAATTGAAGCAGAGTTTTTCGCATTTTGTGAATTTGTATCCAGTCAGTATTTGGCACAGTATGACAATCATTCGGCGTGTGTGAATCTTCACAGTAAATACATAGTTTTAATTTGCAGTATTCAGTTGTGCAACTTCCTGTATAAAACTTGGCTGTTTGTGTTCCTTGAAATTGACACGAAAAATTGACCTGGCTTGAAGTGCCTCGAACTCATGGAGAATTTCCATAAATCCTGCAAACTTATAATTCCCTGTTTCCATTGTCCCACCCTATCTGCTTGGTAGTTTTGCCATTATAATAGGAACCAATAAATCACCATATGCATCTTCTGTTTTTCCAAGGGATTTCAGTGTATCATGAAAGTTGTGGAGACTTTCTATTTAAAGTTTGTAGATGGCTTAGGTAGATCCCACAGCGATCGCATATATGCAGAAACTATTTTATGCTTTTGACCATATCCTTGTTCAAGTAAATTGATAGCATGTTAATTGTAATTGGCGCTTGTCAAAAAAATGGATATTGAAATTTATGGATAGTTCTGAGGTTTGGATTGTCATGGATTGCTGAGTTATAAACTCTAAAACTCACCTGAACATCGGTAGAGAGAGCTTAGGTAGAATGATAGATCTTGATGGTGTAGTTGGTGCAGCGGTGACGTTTCCGGTATTGGGACTTCTGGGGTTGTTCATTTGAGTCTGTTTTCGTAGTTTTCTCTTGATGAATTGGCTTATTTCGAATTTCTTGTCATAGATGTCGTTAAGATAATCATCTGATTCGATTTATCATTGTAGCCAGGTCATCTTTTGTTGCGTTGACTATATATCCGCTTGTCTAAAAAAAATAGGAGTTTGTATTTGGTGTGTAGTTATTTTGGATGTGGTGATTTCATCCAAACGATCGTCATTACACACTTGGAGAAGCGTTTTGATGATTTCTTCGGCTTTTTCGAGGAGTTTTGTCATTTTACCACGGTGTGCTGCTCGAATTTTGAATTTTGGTAAACGTCGCTTGAGAAGATTCTGCCATCCTGTATGCTGGTCTGGTCAATGTGGAAATTGTTAAAATAAGTAGATTTGAGTTCAGGAATGGAGGAATGAGACCGCGTATGAACTGCAACAGATGACTTTATTGATTGATGGATGTGGACTTGTACATGATTGGTGAAAAGAGAAACAACTTGATTGGTCATTATGATTTAACAAGATTGTCAATTGGTTAAAAATTAAATCAATCTGATTGGCTGGCTAATTCTCAGTCAGAATCATAAGTTGTAATCAAGCTCAGTTATTTTCCGACAAAAGGCAAAGATTCACGACTAAAAACATTGTATTTTTAGCTTTGTTTATGTACCAAGATATTGTATGGCTGGTATTTATACCGCCAATTCTTTGACATGTAATAAAATTGTTGTCAATTTTGTCATGTGTCATATGCAACAAAAATGCATAATGCATGTTAATTTCTCATTATTTTATTAATTAAATAGCTACAATGTAATTAGCTAATTTTTTTGATATTCTAACATAAAGATTGGCCAAACACATTGAAAACTTATGTGTGCTTGCTGTTTATGTAGATGAATATCTATCAATTGTGCATAATAATTAGTTTATTTGCATTCTTTTCAACTTAATTCTATGTTTCATAATGGTAGTTTGTTCCAATGGATTGAATATTTGCCCATGAATACTGTGTGTGTACAAATATTGAATTTCTATCACTAATTTGGCATTAATTAATTTGCATACTAATTACTATTTTCAGCTTGTATTATATTATATCCTAGCAACCATTTGGTCAAATGAATTGAAACATGTATCATTAGCATCAAATCAAAATGAGTCTAAATGATTGTATTTTAGGTATTCAATAAACATAAAAAACATTGAATTTGCTTCCCACACTTCATATCATACATGGATAAAAAAAAAATATCATGGAACCGTTTTTTTTTGCAGGGTGACCTTGCTAAGAAGAAGATTTATCCAACTTTATGGTGAGTGAAATAGTGACGTAAAAATCCATACAATCAAATGATTTGCTGTAAATTTATGTAGTGGGTCAATTAGAATTGCTCAAAGCTTTTTTGTTAATCTCTCGTTTAAAGAAAAAATACAATATGGACATCCATGCATTGTTTCCATGGCAACTTGAAAACGCTTAATAGGATTTGTGGTTCATATAGCTTTGTAAATAACCATGGAAACAAGACCATAACTGTGACAAGAATGCAATGGATGTATAAATTTCATTATAATTTGTGAATCTTAATATGTCAGTTGGTAGACTAGAATTTTACATGATTTGTATATTTTAAGAAGATCTGAGTTTGAGATTCTTCCTACCCTGAAATACCATCAATAAATCCCTCTAATATGCCACTTATTATTTGGCATGAAATATTATTATACCAATTATGAGAAAAATGCGTGTCTGCCCAACATTTCTCCATCAAGGGGATAATTCGATAACCTAAAACAGCGTTGAATGTCATAACTATAACACCAGAGAGACAACATTGACATTCAGGTATAAAAATATTATATATAAAAAAAACAAAAAAACAAAAGCATTGGTTGAGATCACCATGTTAAACAATATTATTGTATCTCAATTTCAAAAGCTGGAATTCTGCAATCCAACTATTATAAGCTTTCCTAATATAGTACATGTACTGATAATATGCAGAATTTTTAGTTATTTAATAATACAATCCAAAATTGATTTTAGGATTTTAAAAATTAACATGAAGGTAGAGAACATTACTAGTATATATACACTGTACACTTAGGTACGATGCAAAAAATCGATGTCGGATAAAAAACTTGTTTGCTTTAGTTTGGGGGTGGGGGCTGGGGTTTAGACCTCAAAACGTTTCCATCCTACAAAAACGATTTTATTTTTTAATGAAGTCAAACAATCTTGGAGTATTTGTAGTTTTTTTTTTTTTTCTATTCAATCATGGACAGAAATAACAGAAAATGAAAAAAACACACATTCAAGACGAGAAAATGGTTTGGTCCGAGTGTAAATATGTGTGTCAAATGAGGTGCATTTGTAAAGTCTGTTTACCCCTACCGACAACCAACTGCTATGCCATACTACTGTCCGATTATCAATTTGTATTTAATGGTAAATGTAGTCTTGCGCCATGACCAATATTTATCAATTAAGTTTCAGTGGGGGGTGAGGGGGTTTGGAAAAAAACTAAAGGAATTAAGTTTTTTATCCGACATCGATCTTTTGACGTCGTCCCTTACAATAGTGTATTTATGTCCATATTCTTTGTACCAGTACATTTAACTAAGGTATGCTATTTATATATATATAAAAATACAATAATTCAGAATTGAAATCTGTATATTTTTTTCAAATAAAAATCCCATATAAACAGAGATGGGAAAACTGGCAAACCCAAATATCATTATGTAAATGCAGGT